CGGGACATGGCCTGCACGGTGCCTCGTGGAGTGGTCCATTGAAGACCTGCTCTTCGCCTGCCGTCCCTCCATGATGACGCTTTTCGTTGGAGAACACCTCTTGTATGTGCGTCCAGACAGCCTGCTGAGGATGCGGACGTGGAAGACGATTAGAAGGACAAACAAAATGATTACCTGGAGCAGCAGTGGAAATCTTCAAGACGTCGGCCATGAATGACACGTAGGGAAGGGCAGTTACAGCAAGACGCTGGTATAACTCCACCAAACGGTGACGAAGAGGGCAGCAAAAGTCAGACCGCAGAATCTGAGAAATGCCCTTTTACGTTTAACGCCGCCGCGTACAGTGGGGAATCGAAAGGCGGGTCGGCTAAAATATGCAATTTTGCCAATCGTTGAAGCATTTTCCATTTCGCGGCACGCACTGCAAGGGAGAACACCGGTTGAAGACGTTAGCGAAGGCCGCCCGGCCACCAACGGTTACCGTTGGTGTAAGCATCCTGGAAGCCAAATGTTGATGACCCAAGATGTCTGCGCGGTGGCCTGCATGTACTCCAATGGACCAGCTGACGAAAATTTATTGCCGACGATGGGTGCCTCGCCCCTCCGATTATTGCAGATCCTTGACCTCCGAGGGACCTTGGGAGGTACCTTAGATGGCTGTAGCCCGAGGACGCCCGAAGGATTCCCGGAGGAAATGTTTTCACTTTTTTTTTTCTTCTTTTTATCCCCGAGCATAGGTAAAATAATTTCCTCAGGGACTTTACACGCCCGAGGAGTGTCTAATGAGCCCCAGAGTCAGGACATTAACCCTGTCACAACTACACAAACTATGGAAATTCAACCACAACACAACAAAAATCCCCAAAAAAAGACGCACACAGCCTATGAGAAACCAATAGCGAAATATGCTGTTCGTTTGCAGTCACACTTTGCCCCCACCCCCAGCAAAATCGCAAACAGTGTAGTATATGTCAGCGGCCTGCTGGGCCGCGCTGTGCAGCAATTTGCGAGCGCAAATTCGCATTTGCATCCTGGGAATTTCTTCAGAAAAGAAAAGGAAATTGGGCGACGGGCTACCTACTGTAATGCCCGTCTTCTGGCACTTCTGCTGTCGAATTTGCCTCAAAAGCTGGTCCCACGCTTTTTTTGTGCATATTTATTTGCCCGTTCAGCCCCAAACTACATGGGGAAAAGAAAAGGAAAAAAGCTTGAGGGAAACCCCCCCCAAAAAAAAACACCATCTGCTATCAGCTGTGTGACCACGCAGATAGCAGATGCAGCAATTATCAGAAAGTCCCCGTGATGTGTCATTCAAAAGGGTCACCATGTGTGACCAGGCAGCACACCAAAATCTCAAAACAGCTGTAGTATTGTCATTATAGTATTATGTGGAAGCCCAGGGAACACTATAGAAGCCACACCGGTGCTCAAGCCTCCAACACGATGGGCGATACCGGCTAGGGGTCAGCCAGTAGCATCAGGACCAAGCTTCTTCCAAGGGCCAGTCACTGTGTCTCCCCTCCGATCCGCTCCCACTATGGACACTGCCACTCTGGGGAACCAAAGGCATATCTCCAGGTGGAGGGCGCCAAGCTTGCCCAGAAAAGCACATGGGCCAATGGGGATTGAACTCGCGATCCTGAATGCCACTTGCGTCCCTTACCAACTGTGGTAGGCCAGTGGATTCCTTTTTCTTTTTTTCTTTTTCTTTTTTTGTGCTTTTTTTTTCAAAAAAAAAGGGCGATGGCCTTGAGGTATTATCATCGGACTAACCGGCCCAGGTCAATTCAGTATTGTGGCCTTGATTGCCTTCAGGGAACCCCCAATGGGGGACACCGTTGTTACCTTTCTTTTTTTTTTCTTTTTTTTCTTTTTTGTCGTGACCTTTTTCCTGTTCACCGTCGTTTGGGATCGTGACGTGCAATTTTGTGTCCTGTTTGGGATCGTGTCGCTTGTGATCTCACGTCGAGCAGGTACTTCGCACTGGAGATTGGCATCCGCCACGTGTTACGATAGGGAGAAGCCTACTCACACAATAGGATTTTCCTACGTTGTATCTTGGTCGTTTTTTTTTTTTTTTTTTTTTTTTTTTTTTTTTTTTTTTTTAACCAAAAAAAAAAAAAAAAAAAAAAGGAAAAATATATTTGACCGTTAGGTCCTCTTTGTGGTATCTTTTTTTTTCCCCCTACTCCCAGAAGATAATCAGGAGTCTTGATTCGTGTGCCACTTGTCACGATTTCGAAGAAAAACTGACGGCGTACTTACACTACGTCCAGACCTGAATGTATCTGACTGCAATCACGCCCCGAGCTGACTCCAGAAAGTCCTGGTTCGAGTAAATGCCCTCATAGCAGGGCTGGGCCTCCCCACACCACTCTTGAAAACTGATTTCCAAGAGTACAGTTGCTACGTGGCCACACAGCCTCTTGAAACTTGGGGCTTTCAAGAGCTGTCAGATCCAGAGTGGCTCTTCTTGAAACCCCCTTTCAAGAAAGTCTCTTGAAAGATTGGAACCCCAGCCTCAGCCTGCAACTCGTGCTTTTTTCTAGTGTATCCTTGGCCGAACCCAGGAGGGACTACCGATTTTCAAGAGTTGTCAGGGCTTTATCTTGACTGACGGCCATTGGAAAAAAAAAGCAGCAGTAGGACTGTCTTTTTGCATCCTTTGTGCAGCACCATTGCTCTTTCAAGACTCCTGTGTGGCCAGGGAGGGGACTAAAGCTCTCATCTGACAGCTCTTGAAGCATTCCCCGGTTTCAAGAGTGGTGTGGCGGTGATGTAGCTCAGTGATTAGAGCACCGGTTGGAAATGCGCATTGTGGTATAAGATTGCGGGTTCAAAACTCCGCAGCCTTGCGCATGGACACCGGCAGGGCGTTAGAGTGACGCAAGGCTGGACATACATTCCATTGGGCTGACGCATGGTACTACTACAGACACTGCCTGCGCACCACTCAAGGGTGGTTCATGCTGTTGTATGTTGGTTCTGGGTTGCACATGGGTTTCTAGGGGGTGTCGGTCTTCGGTGCTCTGCTGATCTCCCCGGTCTGACATATCACATGTTCGTTCCATTTCCACTGGTTGTTCATATGGTTGAGTCATTTGATTGTATGTTGTAAGGTCACGGGTTCAAGCTTGGTTTAGTCCTTGGGGGGGTTCTTGTCCAGCATGCCCCTTGTCCTCTCTTCGATGTATACACATGATGTTGTCTGTACACTTCCATATATCAATTCACAGAGCATACATAGCCTTCCGGGGGGTTGTCACTGGGTAGGGTCTAGTATGTCGTAGCAGGTACGAGGCTGGTCACCGTTCCTGCTGATAGTCGGGTAGAACTGCCTAGAGCACACACAGCCTTCCGGGCGGGTCTGTTATTGGGTAGGGTCCAGTATGTCGTAGCAGGTACGAGGCTGGTCACTGGAGTTCCTGCTGATAGTTGGGTGGGACTGCCCATTAAGGCTTACATACACAAGTCTTCATACAGGGTGCTATTCGGATGTACACATGGGTTGCGAATTGTCCAAGAACTACCAGACTGGGGGGGTCTGTCGCTGGGTAGGGTCTAGTGTGTAGTAGTGGGTGCGAGGCTTGTCCCCAGAGCTCCTGCTGATAATCGGGTAGAACTATCTAGTGGCTATGAGACCTGTAGTACATTCTCTGGGCCTGGCATTCGAAGTCCTCGTTCGACAGGGCTCATCCGACTCTGCTTCCACCAGGGCTGGGCAGCCAGCCCTGGTGCCTGTCACCGCTATCCTGTGACGCCAAACCTCACGCCCGGCGCGCCTTCCTGATCGGAGTGAGATGTGGGCCTGGAAGTGTGAAAAGGGGTGTGCCAAGGATTTTCGGAAAGTGAGGGTGGAGTCCCCAGGTCGGAACTGAGATCTCCAGTGGCAAGGTTCAGGGGCATAGATGCAATAGAGCAATGGGGAAATTTACGGGCGCAGGCTTGCACGCTGGTTTTGCGAGGCCGTCCGATCCTGACGCGATCGCCAGTTCCCAGCCTGCAAGGAAGATTTTTCGGATGGACCTAGGTGGGACTCTTCAAAATGCTCCGAATTCCGAGAGTGTGCCTCGAGTCTGGGCAGACAAATGGCCGTGTACTCTAGGGATTTCACGTTGTCTGTTAGTGCAGTCACCACTGGGACCCTCGGAGAGCGGATAGATAGTGCAGCGATGCACCACAAACCACGAATTCGGAGAGCTTTTCAGCTCTCCGCCAACTATCCGAAATTTCGGACAGTGGAGAGTAGTGCAGCGAGACCCATTGGGCCTCGCTGCACTACTCTTGAAATGCACGAAAGACAAAAATCATGGCGGTGTATCTTTCAATATTCTAGCGGAAGTTTCACTCTCGTTTTGCACATTTTGAGTGTAGTGCATCGAGGCCCATTATCTCCGCAAAGACGCCCTGTACAACCCCGCTAGCCGGCCCGCGACATTCCCGAAGAAGAAAAAACACTCGCTAAACGACAAAAGACTCCACGTCTCTAGCCGGTCCACGACATTCCCGAAAAAGAAAAAACACTCGCTAAACGACAAAAGACTCCACGTCCCTAGCCGGTCCGCGACATTCCGCAAAAGAAAACACTCGCTAAACGACAAAAGACTCCATGTCGACTCAGCCATCCTGGGGGCCAACTACAGGTAGCATAGCACTTTCAAGAATGCATCTTTCGGCCACACCTGTATGCATCTGGCCGGAATACCGTCTCAAAGAAGTAAAGAAGTCCTAGTGTGAATATGCCCCACGAACGGTCAGTGGGCCTCCGTGCACTACTCTTGAAATGTGCAAAACGAGAGCGAATCTTCCGCTAGAACATGGAAAGATACACGGCCATGATTTTTGTGCAAAACGAGAGTGAATCTTCCGCTAGAACATGGCAAGTTTCGGTCGCTTTGGCAGGATGAGCATAGCAATATTTGGGCCCTCCCCCTCATACGGCCTTTGAGCATATATAGCGCTGCGCCGCCGAGGTGAATTGTGCCCTTCGCGCCGGACTTGTCTACCTTGGCGATACAGCGGGCCCGCCTTTAGCGCGCGCACAGTCGAATTTCACCTCGCAAAGGGGCGGCAGCTATGGCTACGGCTATGGCTATGGCTATGGCGGCTTGTGGCCGGTGTACAAGACTGTCAGCAACGACAGCGGGGAGCTGGTTGTTGCTGTCGATCTTCTTGCCGCTGGCAGCAGGTTACGGATTGAACGATTTTTTGGCTGCGCTCGGTAATCAAGACATCGGTTATCACGAAGTGCAAGGGGACGTGGTTCTCAACGGCTCTTTGCCACCCATCACGTCGAACCACCTCACGCTTGTGGGCAGAGCGCCAGGTGGCAGGCGTCCAGTGATTGACGGAGCCTTCGAGTCGAGCCACGTCACGCTTGTGGGCAAAGCGCCAGCTGGATCGCGCGCCTACACGCTGACCTTGAAGAACTTAGAATTTGTCAACTTCAATGGAACGCAGCCCATTTTCAGTTTGCTGGGTCACGACATCGACATTCAGGACTGCATTTTTCGTGCCAATCGGGCGATCGGCGGGTCCGGGGGCTCTGTCGTCTACATCCAGAGCGGGAACGTGAAGATCTCCCGCTGTTTCTTCATCGGCAATCAGGCGGGGACCGGCGGCGCTGTGTATTCAATGAGTGCCGGGAGGGTGGTGATCGAGAGCACGGTCTTTCGCGACAACCAGGTGACGGGAATGAGAGGCCGGGGAGAAGGAGGCGGTGTGTATTTGCTCTTCGCGGACCTTTACACCATCAGCAATTGCACATTTGAGGGCAACCAGGTTGATGGCCTCGGGGGCGGAATGGCGGCGGTGGGTTCCTCACGGGGGGAGATCGTGGGTTCGAGCTTCTTGCGCAACTCCGCCTACTCCACAGAACGAGCTTACAAGTCGTACGCAACTGGCGGGGCCATCGATATCTATGGTGACAACGTCACTATCATCAGCGGATGCACGTTCACAGGAAACAAGGCAGAGGGCAGGCGAGGAGGAGCCGTGTCCCTGTCGATGTATCAGGCGGAGGTCACCATCTCCGGCTCCAAGTTCGAGCAGAACGCTGCTGGGAAATACGGTGGCGCTGTGGGTGTGCGACTCGTGACGAGTTACTTCACCGAGGCCAAACGTGGAGTTGCGCTGTATGACGGCGGGCCTCCGAGGAGTAGAGTGAAGTTCTGCAGAGGGAACACGTACTCGAGGAACGTGGCTGGGACTTCAGGCGCGGAGAACATATACGTGGACATGCGCAACAGCTCGGTGAGCGGAGTGACATTCTGTCCGAGCGAGCCTCCTCTTGCTCTCATCGAAGCGGAGACTGGAACGGTAAACATCACCTGCGCATCCTGCTGAAGGGAGGGAAGAGGAGGGGGGGGGGAGTGTTGCACTTGCGTGGATTGCTTCCCCCTAACCCTCGATCTTCATGTTGTTTATGTATATACAAGATCGAATCCGATAGACAATACTCATATCATACACCAACACTCGTGGAAATTGCGGCATGGCTCCTGGTGAAAGTCGGTGAGCCGGAGCAACCTCCTCCGCACGGCTCGGGTTGAACCAGGTCGCTGGATGAAGGAGAAATGAAGGCGGCTGGGTTCGACATCTCCTATGTAGAAAGAGAAAGTGAGTCCTTTGTCTGTCGTTGGCCTTAGCAAGAAGACTACGATGATGACGTACATCTCAGAGAGAAGTGATACATGTCTAGAAATTCACTTCGCTTAGTAGGGCGCTGTCACGGTTTCAGTTCGAACATGCGCTTCAGTGGAAAAGTTCAGTCACGATTTCGCGAATGTTGTGCCAAAGCGGCGAAAATCGTGAATGTATACAACCTAGATTCAGGGTTGAGGAGGGATGTGTTGTATTCGAGGGATGCCTGAACTGGATTTTAAACTGAAATCGTGACTGCTTCTTTAGCAGATGAAATGACTCCGCACTTGAAAAGAAGAAGAAGAAGAAGAAGAAGAAGAAGAAGAAAGAAGAAGAAAGAAGAATGACTACGCTGAGTGCGTACAAGGTGTGTTGCCGACTCATGGCGTTTCTGCCCACGAGGAGTGATTTCTTGTGTGGCACGACGGTTCGTTAACCCTCACAATGCGTTCCTTTTCTTTTTTTTTGTGTTTTGTTTCCTTCTTTTGAAAGGGCGATAGTCTTGAGATATCATCTGTGGACTGACGGGTCCCAGGTAAATTCAGAGTTGTTTTCACTCATCTGAATGCATTTGGATTCGAACTACCTGGTAGGGGTCTGTATTTCAACAGTTTATGGGTGAACCCCCAACTGACCGAGGGCAGTTGGTGGTTCATTCCTCATTATTATTTTTCCCTCGATTTTGGCCGTGGACTGAGCTTTGGCCGGAATTGGGTTCAGATGCATCCAGGTTATTGTAGAAGTCAGGTCAGATGCATCCAGGAGAGTCCTAGTGTGAGTATGGGTCTGGCTCCACTACTGTCCACAGTACTATTTTTCGGACAGTTGGTGGACAGTTGTCAGAGCGAAAAATTGTACAGCGGACAGTGGAAAATGCCACATCGCTCCACTTAGGGGCTGGCTCCACTACTGTCCACTGTAGAAAAAATGGACAGTTCGACTTGGCTCCACTCAGGGGCTCGCCACACCACTATCAAATCGCCTTTTTTCTCGATAGGTGTCAGAAAAATTCTATAGTCCGGACTTCGATAGAATCCCCCCCTTTCGCCACACAGCACTGTCGAATCGGTGGGGTATCGAATGTTTTCCGTTCCGGGGCCGCTTTCTACTGTGTGCAGGTCCTGTCATCTCGCGTGTGTGTGGGCGATTTTTCGATAGTCCGGAGTGTGTGTGGGCTATCGAATTGCAGGCGGACGTGCACATTTCGCTCGATAGTGGTATCGAGTGCACATTTCGTTCGATAGGGGTATCGAATTCCCATTTGTGACACCTATCGAAAATTTTAGAAGCTGCATTTTTTGATAGGCTGTGTGGCGATGCTAAACTATCGAAATTTCGTGTTTCTATAGTGGTGTGGTGAGGCCCTTACTGTCCACTGTCCATGTGCGAAATCCCTCGGACAGTTGTCAGAAATCACTTGGAATGTCCACTGTCCATTTTTGTACAGCTCCCAGCCTGCACAAGTCGTTTCCTGGACGGTCCTCCTAGGAATCCACGACCCTCCGCCGTTTCGGACAGTGAGCCTGGAGTCTGGGCGGACAAGTGTGCAAGTTTTGGAGTTTCGCACTGTCCGGCCATTCCAACTTTTGTACAGTGCCACAAGCGCTGGTACTCCGGGACACTGCTCGGCTGTCCGCCCAGCTCTGAGGACACAGAGGCCTCGTTGCGGACTTTCCGCCGGCCCCTTCTTGGTACTGGCCATACAAAAAAGAAAAAACATGAACAAGGGCTGATAAGCAGGTCAGGGTCATTACCCGTCTTGCCCAGGAACCATGTGCGGAGATGAGTGCTCATGCTCGTCGGAGTATCCGCGCACCCTCCGCCTACATTCTTTCTCCGTCGGCAGAGATGTCGTCCATTCTCGCCGCTGCGCACCAGCGACAAACAGCCATCGAGAAAAGAGACGGCGCGAGGCTTCTAATTCGTTAGCCCGTGGCGCGAGGCTTCTAATTCGTTAGCCCGTGTACTCTGCCATTCATCGTCAATGGTTTGTCTTCAGTACCGCGCCGACAAGCCAGATTCATGTGCAGGAGATGTCTGAGGTCTTCGCCATCTTCGTCTTCATTGAATAGGTGGACGATTCTGTCAGGCAGATCAGCATCCATTGAGTCCACTCGGAGTTGGCAAGGTATGTTGGGAGTCGTCAGCAACGTGTTACGTGTTGTCCCGATCCGCGCGCGCATACTCTGTGTGTGTGTGGAGAGAGAGAGAGAGAGAGAGAGAGAGAGAGAGAGAGAGAGAGCCTCTCTCCACTACTCTCGAGTCTCGACATCTGCAAAACGAAAGTGAATATTCCGCTAGAACATTGCAAGATGCACCGCCATGACTTTCGTCTTCTGTGAATGTCGAGAGTAGTGGAACAAGGCCCACAGAGAGAGAGAGAGAGAGAGAGAGAGAGAGAGAGAGAGAGAGAGAGAGAGTAGGGATCGGGAAAATGGGATCCGTGCCATGCAATCGCCGTCGTTGCATTCGCTGTGCCACGCGCGTTCGAAGTTCGGAGAGGGCTTCCCGAAGAGAAAGTGAGTTCGCAGCGCGCTTGGAGAGTTGGGATCCCGGGGTGTGTGTGTGTGTGTGTGTGTGTGTGTGTGTGTGTGTGTGTGTGTGAGAGAGAGAGAGAGAGAGAGAGAGAGAGAGAGGGCCACGCTCCACTACATAATACTGTACATGCATTTTGACGCTTTCTTTACCCGATACATTCATAACGTTGGAATTGA